TTCAATGTGAGAACTGACCACCGAAGTGCGGCCCTGCCCTGTCCTTTGTGCGAAATTATCACTTGCTTTTCCTCTACACCTGGTACGTTGGACAACAAGCTTTATTATTTTGCATAGAGTTCATTGCCCTTTTTCTTTAGAGCTTCATTGAGGTTTGTAAGCAGTGACACTAACTGCCCTAAGTGTGCACTTCRGTCATTTGTGGTGGTCTTGAAGACTTGTACCTACCATCACCATGAGCCCTTTGCTAGGACGTTGCTGCCACCCCTGGATCCCCTCCACCCTGCTGACGCTGGGTCTCCCCCGACCCCAGCCCCAGGCGACACTGGGTTAATTCTGGTAGAATGAAGCCCCATCCCACTTCCCTCCGCTGCTGTTTGGTCCTCGTGGATTGCATGGCCTTGCTACAACCCCATGACGTGGGCGAGGAGCACGCTCTATCTAAGGGGTTCACGGACTACAGCCTGTACCCCGATGAGCCAGCTGCTTCTGTAAGTCAAGTCTGGATGAAGTGCAGCCACGCTGTGCCCACTCAGCGTCCAGGCAGCCGCAGCTCGCACAAGAAAAGTGCAACTGCGCGCTTCACACGGTCCTGTCAGATAAGTTAGTGAGAAGTGCTGCAGATGTGCACGGGACACTTCTGTCAGTGAGGGGGCCCGGGACAGCTGTGCTGTGAGATCAGGTCACCTCGGGGCGGTGGCCTCCTGCTTGAGGACACACTATGATGCCCACACGTGTCGAGGCTGGCTCTCGACCGGTTTCCCCCGCGTGACGGACGGCCCTGGTCTTTTCTCTTCTGTGTCTCAGCCGCAGCCTCCTTTCTCTCCGGCCGTGCCGCCCCGGAGCTCTCTGAGGTCTGTTGGTTCCCCCTGCTTCTCTGCCTCTTCACCTTGTGCAGTTTCTACTAACCACCAAGTGGACAGCTCTTTCTCTGGGCTCCTCAGACCTGCAGTTGAGCCGCTCTGGGGCAGTCTCACCTTGGGAATGTCTGTGCCGAGTCTCCCTTCCCTCCAGCTGTGACAGGCTTTCGGTGGGTAGTCGCCGGCATCAAGGCGCCTCCTGTGGCGGTTCAGAGACAGGGTCCGCTGGCCGCCTGCTCCTCGGCTGGGGCTGTGCCCGAGGTCTCTGTGTGTCTTGTCGTTTATCGCTGAGTGCTGGACGTTGAGGTCAGGTGTTGTGTCAGCTCTGCATTCTGACTTCAYCCCCCGCTGGGGTGGGCCACTCACTTCTGTAGCTATTTTCTTGACCAAATCTGCCAAGTGTGAGCACAGTGTGGGAGCTCCCCAGCTCCAGCACACTACTGTCCAGCCTCATGCCACGGCCTCCCCACCCAGTGGCTGTGGCTCTCCCGGGACTCAGTGTCCACCTCCCTGTATACCATCTGGGCCACCCACCAGTGTGTCTCCACCAACAGCCTCTCTTCCCACAGTGTCTGGCCGGCAGCTGCAGCCCGAGGAGCCAGGGGCAGCCACTGAGGAGGACCGCACTGTAAGTGGGACCAGGGAGGGAGTGTGTCCCCCCCGCAGCCTGCCCCCAGGCCTTCTGGCCAGAGCCTGAGTGCTGACAGGAACCCGACTCTCTCCTCCTGCCAGGTGACTGAAGGGCCTGTGGACGAGGTCATCCGGCCACGGCCACAGGGGTCCTCCCCTGTCTACGAATGCACAGCAGAAGGCACTGGCTTTGGAGTCCAGGTGAGCCCTGGGCAGAGCTCACAGGCCGAGACAAGGCCTGGGCGCCGGCCCTGCACCCCTCTCCCTCCCGATCACCTGTGTGGGCGGCCCACAGGCATGTCTCTGTCCAGCACCCTGCCCTGTCTGCTGCCACCAGGCCACAGCTGTGCCCATCACTGTCCCCTCTGGGTCCCCTGACATGGAGATGCCTGTGGCTACTGAGCTCGTGTGTGCTGGGGCACAGGCCCAGGCTCCCATGGGTGGGGCCAAGGTGGGACACGGGACGTGTGCACATGTGCAGCCTTTGGGGAGGACACAGGCCCCCGYGGAGGAGGACAGGAGGGGCCATCGGAGGAGACGTGTCCTCAACAGATGGCGTCCTGCCTTTGGAGATCCTCCTCCGTACTGACCTCCAGTGCCACAGGGCTTGCGGGGGAGCTGAGGCTGGCCTCAGGTGGAGGAGGCCCTGCGTGGCCTTTTCCCTGGTGGCCCCCAAGGGACGCAGCTCCCTCTGCACCCAGCTGCACCCCTGCAGCTCCTGAGTCCCTCGGCACTGGGGTCTGCTGCCTGGAGCCTTCTGTTCTCCCGGACCCAGGGCCAGGTGGGTGGAACCTTCTCTCCTGCCTGTCCCTGGCTGGGTGGCKGGTAACTCCCAACCCCTGTGGCTACAGGAAGACGCCCCGGGCCGGCGAGGCTCCTCAGGGAGGCGGAGGTCCTGGTGGAAGCGGGCCTCGGGGGACTCGCAGGTCTTCTCCAGGATGAGCCACCCAGAGGTGGGTATGCCAGACCCAAGGTGCTGAGGGAGGGTGGAGGGCAGCAAGGAGACCGGCAGCGTCCCTGGGTCCCAGGGAGGGCAGGGCGACGGGAGGCCCCAGTGACGAGGGCCCTGGGTGTGTAGTCCTCATCACGCCCCCATCCAGAGGGGTGGTGCCAGGTCGGGCACCTGCACGGATTGCAACCAGAAGCTTCAGAGCTCTGTGGGTACCCTGAGGGGTGCGGGGGCCTCTGCTGGACACAGAGGCCACCATCATGTCCAACATGGGTGGCCTGCCTCCCTTCCCTGTGTTGGCCTCAGGTCTGTGGCCCTGCTTAATTTGAGCACCGGGTGCTGCCTGTGTCCAGTGCGTCATTTGCGAAGGAAGGCAGGTTTGACCACAGTGCCTGCAGGGCCGTCCTCTCTGCTGGGCAGGGACAGCAGTCCTGGCAGGCTGGGTAAGGCCGTGGGAGGCAGCTCCTACCTGAGGCTCTCTGTAGCCGGCGGACTCCAGTGCTGGGACAGTGCAGCCTGCGTCCATCTGAAAGGAGCCCCCACCTCTGCCTGTGGTGCCCACGGTGACAGGTGGATGGTGTGGTCCCCTTCTTGGGAGACGCCAGCCCCTAGCACTGATGGCACAGCTCACCGTGGCCCTGATGTGCTTCTACTCCAGGCTGTGCGGGAAGTGACAGAGGAGACACTGGAGACTGAGGTGGAGGCAGGAGCCAGTGGTTACAGTGTCACAGGTGGGGGACACCAGGGGATCTTTGTCAAGCAAGTGCTGAAGGACTCCTCGGCGGCCAAGCTATTCAGTTTGAGAGAAGGTACAATGGCCGATCCATCCRTTTCCCCATCATCTGGGCAAAGATGGCCGGGACATGGAAGGGACCCGGAGGGGGCAGGGCCACACCTAGATTCAGGACCACCCCGTCATGTCTCTACTCGTCTGCCCCAGGCTGGGCCACCCACAGTTCCTCTTGGCTGTGCCATGGAGAGAACCTCCATTTCTCCCTGTTGCCCCAGGGCTGGGGGTCCCAGGACCCCCGACTTGGTGGGAGTGGGAACTAAGCCAGAGCTGTTCCTTTGTCCTCTAGGGGATCAGCTGCTCAGTGCCACCATCTTCTTTGACGACATTAAATATGAAGATGCTCTCAAGATACTTCAGTACTCGGAGCCTTACAAGATCCAGTTCAGAATCAAACGGAAACTGCGTGCCCCAGAGGGTGAGGAGCTGGCCGTCTCTGGCCCTTGGCAAGACTCCAAGGACAAGGAGCAGGTAAGGCCCCTTCAGCAGGCAAGGAGAGGCTGCAGAGGCTGCCCTGCGTCCTCGTGCACAGAGCACCAGGCTCTGCGCCAGCTCCAGTGAGTTCCCTCCCCCTGTGTTTCAGGACAAGGATGTGGCTGACGAGTGTACAGAGACCCCGACGAAGACACTGGAGGCAGATGGTGACCGGGAGAGGCTCATCTCCAAGCCCAGGGAGAGCCGTGGCAGGCGCCCCCACGAAAGGCTCTCCTGGCCCAAATTTCAAGCCCTAAAGAGCAAGCGGGGGCCTGGACCTCGGCGTTCACACAGTTCCTCCGAGGCACACGAGCCTGGAGATGCGCGAGACGTGTCCCCGACAAGCACAGACACAGAGGCCCAGCTGCAGGAGGAGCTCCGGGCACAGAAGGCAGGGCCAGGCCRCCAGAGGAGGAGGAAGTTCCTGAACTTCAGATTTAAGATGGGTTCAGGACAGGAACCCTCTGCCGCCGGGCAACTGGGCAGAGAGGCCCACGGCAGGCCACATCCTGCTGGGGTGCTGGGGGAAATGGGCCCCTGGGAGGATGGGCCAGGGGCCACAGGGGCTCCCGAGGGAGGCAGGCCTGAGGAGAGAGCAGAGTGGCAAGRGGCTGGGCCGCCTGTGCAGCAGGGAGTGGAACCAGGCCCTCCAGCACACGTCCTTGGTGACAGAGCTCCTGCAGAAGGKGTAGGGATGGCTGCCAGGGGCCAAAGGGAGATACAACCCATGAGCACCCAGCACAAGGCAGAGGAGCACAGCAAGCCCAGGAGCGGCACTGGTGCAGGCCGCGGGATGAACTGGGAGCAGGAATGGGAAGAGATTCAGAGCCTGGAAACAGGGATAGCAAGACTGTCCCTGTTGGACACCCAGGACGCAGGCAGCTCACAGACACACGGACCAGAAACMCAGGTCCAAGGACGTGACTTAAAGACACCCAAATTTGGAATTTCCAAAGAAAAAGTAACAGAGACAGGAAAAGGTGGCAAAGGACTTGAAAAGAAGAAGGGAAAGCAGACATCACCAGGAGAGGACGAGGGAGGCAGGACGGAGGCCACCGCAGAAGAGGACACACCAGTGGGCACAGGGCCCCAGGCAGACGCTGCAAGGAGGAAAGAACAGAAAGAGAAGACACCAAAGACACGGCAGGACAAGGGGGAGACACAGAAAGATGAGGACCCAGAGAGGAGGGAGGCCAAGGCGAAGATGCCCAGGGCCCCAGGGAGCTCCACGGGACGGTCACCAAGTCGGGACGGGAGAGCCAGCCCACCGAGAGCAGGAGGGGAAGGGAAACGGGAGATGGCCCGCGAAGACAGGAGGGCGACGAGGGGACCTCACGCGGTGGGCCCAGGAGACGCCCTGCCAGGGGAAGAGCAGGAGCAGAGACAAGTGGGAGCGACACAAAAGAGAGACGCGGCGACCACAGAGGAGAACATCAAGAAGGGACACAGGGACCAGGASGCAGGAGAGGGCCAGCTCAGAAGGCCCACGTTCAAGATGCCCTCCTTCAGTGGGTCCGCCGTCGGCCCGGCCTGGGACGCGTCTGTGGAGGTGAGGGCACCCCAGGCAGAGGCCGATGTGGCCTTGCCTTCCACACAGGGTGACCTCAAGAGCTCTGACCTCAGCATCCAGCTGCCTGCCACCAACCTGGACACCAGGGATGGCCAGCTGGACGTGACCCTCCCCAAGGCCACCTTGCCTGAGGGAGAGCTTCTGGCAGACGCTGACTCTGGAGCCGGCCTGAAGGGGCACCTACCCWWGATGCAGATGCCCAGCATCAAGATGCCCAAGGTGGACCTTAAGGGCCCCCAGGTGACCATCAAGGGCCCCAAGCTGGAYGTGAAAGGGCGCAAGGGTGAGGTGAGTGCYCCCAGCCTGGATATGGAGCTGTCTGCTGGGAAGATGGACATACAGGCCCCCAGTGCCMAGMTGGAGGGGGACCTGGCCCYRGCAGACAAGGAAKTGGCCACCAAAGACRGCAAGTTCAAAWTGCCCAAGTTCAAGATGCCSTCYTTYGGYRTSTCTRSCCCCWGCAAGACCTTGGACACCTCTGTGGAGGTGAACTTGCCCAAAGTGGAAGCCGATGTGACCTTGACCTCCATCCAGGGTGACSTCAAAGACCCTGACCTCCGCATGCAGCTGCCTGAAGCCAATGTGGACATCAGGGCTGGCCAGATGGACATGACCGTCCCCGAGGCCACCCTGCTCAAGAAAGAGCTACTGGCAGCCCCTGATGCTGAAGCTGGCCTTAAGGGGCA